TATGTCAAGGGTTTCTCTGCATTGAAAAGGTTGACAAAGGCTGGTATAGATACTGGGATTTACACCATTTTTTCTATTCGGAGCTGCACTAGTTTAACTGACAGTTGCACGGCCTTGCAATACTGTACATAATTAATTGGTTTGCTTGAAAGTTATACTGTCTACAAACTATGGTATGAATACTGGAATTTACACATATTTTACTTTCTGACCATCTATCAAATTTCTTGAGGTGCTAAAATTTCAGGGCAGTACAAACACCCCCAAATGACCCCTTTTTGGAAAGTAGACACCCTAAGCTATCTGTTAAGATTTATTTTTTTCCACAAGTTTTTGGAAAAGGGCAACATTTTTTTACACAAAGTTGTCATTTAAATGGTATATTGCTCACACATGCTATGGGTATATTTGGAATTACATCCCAAAATATATTCTGCTACTTCTCCTGAGTATGAGGATACCCCATGTGTGAGACTTTTTGGCAGCCTAGAAACTCTGAAGGGCCTTCTGCACACTGATATATACCCTCTCAAGCAGACTCTGCAATAAATAGGGATATTCAGTTCACACATATTGCAATTCATGTTTAAGTTGGCCAACTGCATCAAAGTAATCCTTCTATGGCCAGTCCTACTCTGCTCTGCCTACAGAAATGCTACTGTGGACACAATGCCAACAAAGGGGAAAAGACAAAGTGGGGGAGAGCTACCAGGTTTAGGTCTGGTTGCTGACCCAAAATACAACAAACAAGATATACCTGTGCTCAAATCCCAATGGTTAGTACATGCATTTATCCATCAGGTGCTAAAGGGGTGTAACCACATATTAAAACTAGATATTCTGAAGGGCCTTCTGCACATGGGTATTTTTTGCTAGAAAATTACTTTGAACCCCCAAACATTATATATTTTTTTTAAAGCAGACACCCTATAGATTAAAATGGTGGGGTGTTGCAATTTTTTATGTCACATAGTACTTGCGCAGTGATTTTTTAAAACGCAAATGCAAATGCACACAAATACACTTTTTTGAATTTTAATGCAAAAAAATGCACAATATATTGGCCAATTATTTGGTGAAATATAAAAGATGATGGTATGCCCTGTAAATAGATACCAAAGATGACATGCTTTAAAAGTGGGCATGCAATGGTGACAAACTACATACATTTTTAATATCCATAGGAAACATTTTAAAAAGCCTTTACAGGCTACCATTGTAGATTTACACAGGAGGTCTAGTGCTAGACTTACTGCCCTCGATCTGATGGTCATGCAATACCTCACATGCATGGTGTAACCACTGTTTACATACGTACACGGGGCAGATGCTTGCGTACGCTATTGCGCGCTTGGGGGGACAAAGGTTCTTTAATTTTTTTTTTTTTACACTGTCCCTTTCATTTTCTTTAAAATCACTTTTATTGTTATCACAGGGAATGTAAATACCCCCTGTGATAGCAATAGGCAGTGACAGATATTCTTTTATGAGAAATCTGGGGTCTCTTAGACTCTAGATATCTCCTCTGCCCTTAAAACATCGGATCTCACCAAGATAGGTGTGAACAGATGCTTTCCCAATTTAAAATTGGTGCTTTTTATATTTGGCCAAACCAAAGTGGTGAAATGCTCTTAGCTCCTGGTTTCTTAGACCTTAGAGATGATTGGCCCCATTCCGATCTCCAATAAGCTCTATGGTCAGCTGGTGGAAACACTGGCTGCTTTCTCAGGTTCCCTGCTGGCATGGGACTGCCTGAGAAAGTCTTGGAAGGCAGGGGGACATCTCCTCCTGCTGCTTGTAAATGCAATCCTGCAGCTAATTAGCCACTATGATTGCTTTTACATAAAAGCTGATCGTTGGCTTAAAAAAATGATACCAGGATGATGCCTGAAGGCATAATCCTGTTATAACCACCCAAAGTCCAGTGATATACAAGTATGTTGCTGGTCCTTGTTGGGTTTATATGTTATGGGTTTTTTAAAGCAGCCTATGGGCTTAATGAAAAAAAAAGAGAAGAAATCTCTGCCAGAAAAAGTGTGTGGTATGCCCACCATTAGAATACCCCAGCCCTGCATCCACCCACTTCTAATGGGATGTCAAATGTTCAAAAGAACATCGATCGATGTGGATGAAGAAATCTCTGCCGAAAAACATTTTTATAAATATATCCCGGAGCATAGGAGTGATCCACCCCCTGACCACCCCAGGCCCCCCATGCTAGAGCATATATGTTCTCATCCAACAGCGCTGCACACACTGACGTATATTCTGAGAGCAAAACCCTGTTGCTGACAGAATAAACAGATTGGTGCTGCAGCTGAATTGCATTCCTGCAGAGAAAACAGCAATGGTTAAAAATAAAACAGTAACTCTATAAAACAACTTTTTTTATTGAAATCTGTGCCAAACAATATTATAAAATATATATGTCGAAGCATATGAGTGATCCACCCACTGACCACCCCAGGCCCCCATGCTTGGGCATATACGCTCTTTTTTTAAATGCGGATGAAAAATCTCATCCAACAGTGTTGCACAAGAGCAAGAACCTGTTGCTGTCAGAATAAACAGATCAGTGCTGCAGCTGATTGGCATTCCTGCAAAGAAAACAGCAATGGTTAACAATAAAACAATAACTTAATAAAACAACTACATTTTTAAAAAAAAAACTGTAAACTCCAGATGTTAGGGTCTCTCAAAATGAGATTTCCTGACTACCTAACATCTTTCAAGATCCTGTGTATATATGTGCTCTAGACTGTGCCTTGCCTCACTCTATACTAATACTCCATTAGTGTGTGGTAGTGACAAAGGCAGTCTTTGCGGCAGAGACCAGGTTGGCCAGGACAGGAGGGACAAAAAAAGTGGGTGTCATGCCTAATTCCGTGTCTGCTACACAACATCTTTTTTGGGGTAACTTTTGGGTTGGGGTACCAGGAATGGCATCAGGAAAAAATGCCTCTCATGCAGTCGGCTAACTGCATCTGGGTTGGGGGTTTGGGCCACAGCACCTTCTGGATACAAAAGGGCCGTGATGATCTCTTCCTGGAATTTTAGGAAGGATCCACTTTTATAGTTGCTTTGTAAAGCACAAAAGCATTGTACAGAGCCAATTGAAAATAAATATGCAGACCCTTTCCTTATCAGCATTTGCCTTTTACTGTACCAGCATCTGGCTTTACAGGAAACTAAGTATGGCTTCATTATCTGGTCATTAAGTCCACCCCTCCCATGTTAACATTATAGTCATGGACACAGAAGAGCTTCTCAACAACACCAGCTGCCGTGTACATTTGGATGGTTGTGTCTGCATGAATGGAAGACAGGATGAAAACATCCCATTTGTCCTTTCATGTCACTGCAAGCAATTCATCATTTTTTCAAGCAGGCTTTCTCCCCCTTTCTAAGATGGGTATTTACAAGCCGTTGGGGGAAGCCCCGGTGATTAGGTCGCACTGTACCACATGCGCCAATTCCAAGATTGTACTAATGTCTAAATAGTGGCACCCTTGTATAAAAACTTTCCACATCTGTAGCAGGTCCAGGGCAAACATCATCTGCCCTAATCTGCTGAGTGATCAGTACTGTACCGCACACACACACACACCCTGCCCGTGAACATGAGAGGAGGGTGGATCACATATATTTACGTGATTTTGTGAAGGGAGTCCGCCCTGTAGCAGTAAAACTATAGGGTGGATGACAACTGGTTAAAAAAAAAAAAAGAAAAAAAAAAACAAGGTCTGTTAGTCCTAAAGTGAATGCAGAGGTTCTACATGCAAAGATAGTATGTTATTTAATTATTATTATTACATTTTTTTTTTAACTTTTCTTAAGTAATTTGGTGTTTTAGGTTTTTTAATCTCTCTTTTTTAACTTTTTTTTTTTTTATATATTTGTTATTAATTGTAAAGCCATGTTTAAGAAAACATTGGCCAGGATGACAATGAAATCTGGGTACTACCCATTTTCCCATGCAGATCATGGGTGCAATGTCAAGTTCCTTCAGTCTCTCAGGATAGCTGTCTGTACATACCTACCGTATGAGCAGGCAGTGACTTGAGAGCAGGAAGATCAATGAACAATCAATGAGAGCACTCACCAGCACCCCTCGTAGTTTATTGAGAACTACAAGATATCGCTTATGGTACTTGTAGTCTACTTGCCTGTCAAAACGTCTGATTGCGACAAGGAGTTGACATTATCTTTACAGGATTCTCTGATGTAAAACAGCTTTTTGATTTGGCCTCAACTGCATCCCTGCACGCATTTGACAATGTGGACGAAGGATAATTATAGCATAATGAAAAAGGTGAATGGTGATGGTTCAAAGGAGTTGCAAATCTCATTCAAGATACCCAATGAAACAAAACAGGAAACAAAACAGGAAATACTATTTAACACATACAGCATAGTTGAAAAGAAGACCAAGTGAAAGTGCATGTCCATCTCTTATGTCTGAAAAAAAAACAAATGTAAATTGTCTCTATCCTGTGCAATTCTTATGTAAATGATTGATGATTTTAAATGAAAAATACCTAATTTGCCTATTTGATGGAGCTAAGTATTAAAGGCAGTTCCTATGATACTTAGCTCCCCTTGTGGCCAGATATGGTGTTTTCCCTTTTAAATCAGTGATTTACATTTGAACAACACAAAATATTTCCTGTTTAAATTAATTATTTTGCTCTATTAACCACTTTAGCACCGCCCCATAGCAGAAATACTGCTATAGGGTGGCAGCAGTGCGCAAAATCACATATTTATATGTGATTTTGCATTTTCAGGTAGGAGCTGTCAATCACCGGGTCTCGGCCTGTGATTACTCACTGGCACCCCGTGATTGCCAAGGAACTCCAATGGGGGGGGGGGCTGTTAGTAAACAAAAAAGTTCTCCAACATGTCAGCTCCTGCACACTGCTTTGTATGGCATATAAAGCAGTGTACTTACAGTGAAGCACAATCACAGAACATCATGTAAAACGGAGCACAGCACACAGTTACCCCTTTGATCGCCCCAGATGTTACCCCTTCATGCCCAGTGCCATTAGTACAGTGTCAATGTTTTTTGTTAGCACTGATCACTGTATTGGTGTCACTGGAGATGTCAGTGAGACCAAGTCAGTTCCCCTCCAGTGTCAGAATGCCTGTCGCAGTCCCGCTATAAGTCACTGATCTCCGCCATATAGTAGAAGTATATAAAAAAAGCCCAATATATATACACCACCATTTGTAAACGCTATAACTTTCACGTAAACCAATTCATTTACATTTATTGGGATTTTTTTTTAGCAAAGACATGTAGCAGAATACGTTTTGGCCTAAATTCAAATTCAAATTTGATTTTTTTAATTTTTTTACTGGACATGTTAAATAGCAAGACGTCAAAAATATTGTTTTTTTTTCTCAAAATTGTCGGACTTTTTTTTATAGTGCAAAAAATAAAAAAAAAACACAGGCAATCAAGTACCACAAAAAGAAAGCTCTATTTGTGGGAAAAAAAGGATGTAAATTTAATATGACTGCTAATTGGTCAGTTAAAGTAATGCAACACCGTAAAGCAAAAAATGGCCTGGTCAGGAAGGGGGATAAATTATCTGGCGGGCAAGTGTGAATGAATGTACATGTTCTTTTTCTGGGAAAATGGCTATGCAAATTCTTTATAAATCAAGACCTATTCTATGTGATCAACTTTAATATTTGGCAATAAAAGAGGGAAAACCAAATAGATTTTATGAAGAAATAAAAATTAAAGTGTATTATTTCACAAATCATAACCCAAAATATAATACAGTCACTGCACAGCATTTAAACATAATTTAAAAGGGGTTGACTAGTCAGGTTTTATTATGAAATAAAAATTAGACTGTATTATTTCAGTCAATAGACAGAAATATTATACATACTAGACTGCATCTTTAAGAGAGAGAAACCTGGGAGGTTTTCACATGAAATAAAATTTGGAATGTATCATGTCTATTTATCAACAGCTATGGCAATAAGAGGATTGAGGACGACGAGGTGCTTAATAATGTGGTGATTTGGTGCACTAAACTATACCCCACAAGTGATGATGTGCTGCAAAAAGTTTTGCAGGAAAAAATTCATGCTGCTGACCCCTTGCAAAATTGCATTACAATGAAACCTCAAGAAAATGAAACCTGAAATGCTAAGCTCCATTTCTAAGCCTTGAATCCTTTTTTCTTCATTTGTTTACAACTAACTTGCATAGTTACATAGTTGGTAAGATTGAATAAAGACACCAGTCCATTCAGTTAAACCTGTGTGGTTGTGCGTGTGTCCATGGGAAAATAATGATTTCCTATATTTCTGTATACTGTGTTCACTAAGATGCCCATCCAATACTTTTTTTTAAAACTATCAATACTTCTCGCTTACACCAATGATTGTGGAAGGAAGTTGCACATCCCTACTGCCCTGACAGTGAAAAAACCCTACGCAGTTTAAGGTTTAATTGCTTCTCCTCCAATTTCATTAAGTGGCTCCATGTCTTCTTACACTCCCTGAGATTGAATACTTTATGTCCTATGTAACCATTGGGGTATTTGTATATCGCTATCATATCTCCTCTTAAGCGTCCCTTCTCCAGGGAGAATAGGTTTAGTGCTTGTAGTCATTCCCATAACTGAGGTCCTCCAGTCCCCTTATTAACTTGTTTGCCCTTTTCTGTACTCTCTCCAGTTCCAGCACATCCTTCCTGAGGGCTGGTGACCAGAGCTGAATGGCATACTCAAGATGTAGCCATAACAGAGTTTTAAAAAGTGGCAGGATTATTATTTTATCTCTTGAGAAAACCCCCTTTTTACTGCATGCTAGTGTTCTGCTAGCTTTTCTTGCCGCAGCTGGGCATTGCATACCATTGCTGAGTCTGTCATTTATTAGGAATTCCAGATCTTTATCCATCCTGGATTCTCCCAGAGGTTCTCCCCCTAGCAAGTAATTTGTGTTCATATTTTTAATCCATAAGTGCATTACTTTACATTTTAAAACATTAAACCTCATTTGCCATATATTTACCCACCCCTTTATTTTATTGAGGTCTTCTTGTAAGGTTTATATATCCTAATTTGAAGTATTGCTCTACTTAGCTTTGTATCATTAGCACTTACACAAGTTCTGACGATACAAAGTGCGGACAATACAAAGTGCTGTATCATCAGCAAATAATGTAATTGAGCTATTTATACCAATCTCTATATCATTTATGAATAAATTAAACAGAATTGGCCCCAGGACAGAGCCTTGCGATACCCAACTTACCACTCCAGACCAGTCTGAGTACTCGCCATTTATCACCACCCTTTGGATGTGTTACCTAGGTTAAGTGTATTTCTGTATACACCACAATCCCTGTAGGAGTATTTACATGTACACAGCTAGATCTGCGAGTTCTTACATAAAAGAGGTAGTTCCATCTGCAATATACTGATAGAGTTACATAATATATACAAACAACCTGGGGCGGACTGACAACTCATGGGGCCCCCGGGCAATAAAGGATCATGGGACCCCTGTGTCCTTGCCCAAACTCAAAAAAGCCTATGAAAAAGGTACCAGGGGCGTCTCATGGGGCCCCCTACTGACCACGGGCCCTTGGGCAGTGCCCGAGTTTCCAATGGTCAGTCCGCCCCTGCAAACATCACACTAAGCAGTATTTACCACACAATGTACAGTTTAAGTCCCTTGACTTCTAAAATATTTACAAACTACCCACAAAACCATATTTACAATTCAACGTACAGTACAAGTATGAAGTTAGTTTACCTCTCAACTTCAGGTCTGGCCATGCTGTCTGCTGGGTGTCCCAACACAAAGAGACCCACAGCTTGGTGACAAAGCATTGTATTCCCCCTCCTTTCTGTACTGTGGATACTATAATGCTCCCTACTTGGTCACTGTACCTAGCAAATGTATATTGGGCACAGCCTGTTTGTAGGATTCAAAGAAGGCTGCTGTTTACAACTCATGTGAGATGTGTGACAGTGTGTGGCTATGAAAATGGCCAGGAAAAAGACACAGAGTTTGCACGTCTAGTTAGTGCAATGCTACAGAGCACAGATTTGGAGTAGAGAAAACTGCTTGTGCAGTTTTCTCTGGATCTGGGTATTGCCGCATGAGATTCAACAGATCTCAGCTATTCTCTGGTCATTCACAGTTTATGACACTCAGGAGATCATGTCAGCCCTTCTCTGGAGATCTGTGTTCTCCCTCCAGATTCTCCAGCCCAGAGCTGGAGAATCAGAGGGACTGAAAACTAAGCAGAGATAATTTACCTCTGTTTAGTAAACTGATCTTTTACAGTAATCTCACGAGATTATAGTAAAATAAGCCGTTTTCCAGAGTTTGTAGACCGTTCTCCAGCGTTTGGAGACTGTTCTCCCTTCGTTCGGAGAACTGCTTCATAAACTGCATTCACAGGAGAACTGTGTTCTCCGAGAATGCCGGAGAACTGAGCAGCGATCTATTACCGCAGATTCATAAACGGACACCTCTGTAGTTTGGAGATTCCTAAGAGTCTTGGGCGGGATGGAATCCCCAACCCTGTGTCCGGGTGTTGTGGACAACCAGCAAGGTGTATGCCCAGGTGCACACAGCCCTTATAATGAGGGGCTTGTGAAAGCAGTTGGTGGTGGAGGTGGAATAGCAGTTACTATTGCTGCAAGCCAGAAGACAGAACCCTGTCAGAAGAGCTGGAACCTCCTGGTGGAGACTACAACCCTTGTGAGGGGGATTCTGGGCCCAAGGAATGGGAAAGTCTGGCCAACTATGAGAGTCTGGGAGACCAAGAATGGGTCTGGGAGGCTGAGGAAGTTGCAGAGGCCAGGGAGTCCAAGGAGCTGGAAGGAATCCATGAGTCTCTGGAGGAAGCAAGCTGAGGTACAGGGAAAACTCCGTCAAGAGGCCATGTGGGGCCTGAACAGCAAGGAATTGTCACCTAGGCTGAGAGAGCCTGAATAGTCAGTGGTCTGAGAGACCAAGCCAAGCAGAGGTACTGTTAACCAGAGAGCCAGGTGGCTTGGCATTTCCATTGTGTATTATTTTGAGTGAAGTTGAAACCCCCTGCATGGGAAACCTTGTGTCAAAAGGACTTTTCAGTTACTGTTTAATAAAAGTGGGCTACCAGGCCCTTAATTTTAGTTCTTGTCTAGCATAAACTCACTTAAAAGTGCACCTACTGCTGAGCTAAGCATCCCCCATATCACAGATGTGATAAGAGACAACAAAAGACCAGAACTTATATAGTGGAAAACTATATACATTCACACTAGTACGTAAGCTTGAAATACTTTGCTGCAAAATACTCAATAGTTTAAATACTGTATATTTCCATCTAACTAAAATATACTTATAATTATAATATTATTTACATCTGTTAATGGAGATTTCACATACACTCATTATCCAACAGATGCGTGCCTGTAAGCAGTTTTCTATCCATGTACAAACCCTCTGGTCCATGCCTACAGACCTCAGTTTGTAAATTAAGCATTTATGGGGGACAGTATCAAATGCCTTTGCAAAATCCAGATACATAACATCCTATCTGTGCAGCTCACTTCCTCATAGAACTGAAATTAAAATTTTCTGAGAATGAGAAAAAAACAATAAAACACCAAAATAATGCAAGTAAAGGACCATCAGCTAAATAGCAACTGAAGTAGTTGCTGGCACACAGAAAAGTAGTCCTAGAAAGGACTGTTGGGTCCATGCACTGTGAGCACAGAGAAGTACACACTATGTAACCCAATACACTGCAATATGCTGAAATTTAACATGGTTCAGAACTATATTTAGCACTGTTCAGCACTGTGTCTTTCCCTGAAAACACTGCCAGCTCCCCGTGTCAACTCAAAGTCTCCAACACACACTGGGGTTGATTTACAAAAACTGGAGAGGGCAAAAACCAATAAGCTTCTAACTTCAGCTTGTTCGATTAAGCTTTGACAAAAAAAACCTAGAAGCTGATTGGTTTCTATGCAGAACTGCAGCAGATATTTCAGTCTCTAGGTTTAGTAAATCGACCATGTATAGCACATTATAGTGAAAGGGTGTGTTATTTGCTTCAGTATGCCTATTTAATATACACATTATTGATGTAGCTAAGAAAAAGCTTCAACCACATTTTCAATACTTTTTTTGCTGTTGAAGTTTCA